GGCCCGGGGAGCAGCCCGGCCTTCGGGCTGGGTTGCGACCGTGGCAAAGTCTAGTTTGGACCATATCAGGACCTGCTAAGACAAGCTAAGACTAACTTGGACCAGAACTTGACTAAGTTTTGACCAGCTTGGACATGTTATGACCAATATTTGACCAGTGACCCTATGCGGAAACGCTCGGGTTTCCCACGTAAAACGACCTTGTGTCACATCTTGACCCCGTGGGAGTTAAGTAAATACCACCGGCCCGGGGAGCAGCCCGGCCTTCGGGCGGGTTGCGACCGTGGCAAAGTCTAGTTTGGACCATATCAGGACCTGCTAAGACAAGCTAAGACTAACTTGGACCAGAACTTGACTAAGTTTTGACCAGCTTGGACATGTTATGACCAATATTTGACCAGTGACCCTATGCGGAAACGCTCGGGTTTCCCACGTAAAACGACCTTGTGTCACATCTTGACCCCGTGGGAGTTAAGTAAATACCACCGGCCCGGGGAGCAGCCCGGCCTTCGGGCTGGGTTGCGACCGTGGCAAAGTCTAGTTTGGACCATATCAGGACCTGGCTAAGACAAGCTAAGACTAACTTGGACCAGAACTTGACTAAGTTTTGACCAGCTTGGACATGTTATGACCAATATTTGACCAGTGACCCTATGCGGAAACGCTCGGGTTTCCCACGTAAAACGACCTTGTGTCACATCTTGACCCCGTGGGAGTTAAGTAAATACCACCGGCCCGGGGGAGCAGCCCGGCCTTCGGGCTGGGTTGCGACCGTGGCAAAGTCTAGTTTGGACCATATCAGGACCTGCTAAGACAAGCTAAGACTAACTTGGACCAGAACTTGACTAAGTTTTGACCAGCTTGGACATGTTATGACCAATATTTGACCAGTGACCCTATGCGGAAACGCTCGGGTTTCCCACGTAAAACGACCTTGTGTCACATCTTGACCCCGTGGGAGTTAAGTAAATACCACCGGCCCGGGGAGCAGCCCGGCCTTCGGGCTGGGTTGCGACCCGGGCAAAGTCTAGTTTGGACCATATCAGGGCCGGCTAAGACAAGCTAAGACTAACTTGGACCAGAACTTGACTAAGTTTTGACCAACTTGGACATGTTATGAGCAATATTTGACCAGTGACCCTATGCGGAAACGCTCGGGTTTCCCACGTAAAACGACCTTGTGTCACATCTTGACCCCCACGTGGGAGTTAAGTTAAAAATACCACCGGCCCGGGGAAGCAGCCCGGCCTTCGGGCTGGGTTGCGACCGTGGCAAAGTCTAGTTTGGACCATATCAGGACCAGCTAAGACAAGCTAAGACTAACTTGGACCAGAACTTGACTAAGTTTTGACCAGCTTGGACATGTTATGACCAATATTTGACCAGTGACCCTATGCGGAAACGCTCGGGTTTCCCACGTAAAACAACCTTGTGTCACATCTTGACCCCGTGGGGAGTTAAGTAAAAATACCACCGGCCCGGGGAGCAGCCCGGCCTTCGGGCTGGGTTGCGACCGTGGCAAAGTCTAGTTTGGACCATATCAGGACCGGCTAAGACAAGCTAAGACTAACTTGGACCAGAACTTGACTACGTTTTGACCAGCTTGGACATGTTATGACCAATATTTGACCAGTGACCCTATGCGGAAACGCTCGGGTTTTCCACGTAAAACGACCTTGTGTCACATCTTGACACCGTGGGAGTTAAGTAAATACCACCGGCCCGGGGAGTAGCCCAGCCATCGGGCTGGGTTGCGACCGTGGCAAAGTCTAGTTTGGACCATATCAAGACTTGCTAAGACAAGCTAAGACTAACTTGGACCAGAACTTGACTAAGTTTTGACCAGCTTGGACATGTTATGACAAATATTTGACCAGTGACCCTATGCGGAAACGCTCGGGTTTCCCACGTAAAACGACCTTGTGTCACATCTTGACCCCGTGGGAGTTAAGTAAATACCACCGGCCCGGGGGAGCAGCCCGGCCTTCGGGCTGGGTTGCGACCGTGGCAAAGTCTAGTTTGGACCATATCAGGACCGGCTAAGACAAGCTAAGACTAACTTGGACCAGAACTTGACTAAGTTTTGACCAGCTTGGACATGTTATGACCAATATTTGACCAGGGACCCTATGCGGAAACGCTCGGGTTTCCCACGTAAAACGACCTTGTGTCACATCTTGACCCCGGGGAGTTAAGTAAATACCACCGGCCGCGGGGAGCAGCCCGGCCTTCGGGCTGGGTTGCGACCGTGGCAAAGTCTAGACCATATTTGGGACATTTTGTCCCCGTGGCCAGGTTGACAATATCAGGACCAGCTAAGACAAGCTAAGACTAACTTGGACCAGAACTTGACTAAGTTTTGACCAGCTTGGACATGTTATGACCAATATTTGACCAGTGACCCTATGCGGAAACGCTCGGGTTTCCCACGTAAAACGACCTTGTGTCACATCTTGACCCCGTGGGAGTTAAGTAAATACCACCGGCCCGGGGAAGCCCCGGCCTTCGGGCTGGGTTGCGACCGTGGCAAAGTCTAGTTTGGACCATATCAGGACCTGCTAAGACAAGCTAAGACTAACTTGGACCAGAACTTGACTAAGTTTTGACCAGCTTGGACATGTTATGACCAATATTTGACCAGTGACCCTATGCGGAAACGCTCGGGTTTCCCACGTAAAACGACCTTGTGTCACATCTTGACCCCGTGGGAGTTAAGTAAATACCACCGGCCCGGGGGAAGCAGCCCGGCCTTCGGGCTGGGTTGCGACCGTGGCAAAGTCTAGTTTGGACCATATCAGGACCTGCTAAGACATGCTAAGACTAACTTGGACCAGAACTTGACTAAGTTTTGACCAGCTTGGACATGTTATGACCAATATTTGACCAGTGACCCTATGCGGAAACGCTCGGGTTTCCCCACGTAAAACGACCTTGTGTCACATCTTGACCCCGTGGGAGTTAAGTAAATACCACCGGCCCGGGGGGTTTCCAGCCCGGCCTTCGGGCTGGGTTGCGACCGTGGCAAAAGCAGCTAGTTTGGACCATATCAGGACCGGCTAAGACAAGCTAAGACTAACTTGGACCAGAACTTGACTAAGTTTTGACTAGCTTGGACATGTTATGACCAATATTTAACAGAGACCCTATGCGGAAACGCTAGGGTTTTCCACGTAAAACGACCTTGTGTCACATCTTGACCCCGTGGGAGTTAAGTAAATACCACCGTCCCGGGGAGCAGCCCGGCCTTCGGGCTGGGTTGCGACCGTGGCAAAGTCTAGTTTTTGACCATATCAGGACCGGCTAAGAAAAGCTAAGACTAACTTGGACCAGAACTTGACAAAGTTTTGACCAGCTTGGACATGTTATGACCAATATTTGACCAGTGACCCTATGCGGAAACGCTCGGGTTTCCCACGTAAAACGACCTTGTGTCACATCTTGACCCCGTGGGAGTTAAGTAAATACCACAGGCTCGGGGAGCAGCCTGGCCTTTGGGCTGGGTTGCGACCGTGGCAAAGTCTAGTTTGGACCATATCAGGACCTGCTAAGTCAAGCTAAGACTAACTTGGACCAGAACTTGACTAAGTTTTGACCAGCTTGGACATGTTATGACCAATATTTGACCAGTGACCCTATGCGGAAACGCTCGGGTTTCCCACGTAAAACGACCTTGTGTCACATCTTGACACCGTGGGAGTTAAGTAAATACCACCGGCATGGGGACGCAGCCCGGCCTTTGGGCTGGGTTGCGAACGTGGCAAAGTCTAGTTTGGACCATATCAGGACCGGCTAAGACAAGCTAAAACTAACTTGGACCAGAACTTGACTAAGTTTTGACCAGCTTGGACATGTTATGACCAATATTTGACCAGTAACCCTATGCGGAAACGCTCGGGTTTCCCACGTAAAACGACCTTGTGTCACATCTTGACCCCGTGGGAGTTAAGTAAATACATCTTGACCCGGCCTTCGGGCTGGGTTGTGGGAGTTAAGACTAAACCAGAACTTGACTAAGCTTTGACCAGCTTGGACATGTTATGACCAATATTTGACCAGTGACCCTATGCGGAAACGCTCGGGTTTCCACGTAAAACGACCTTGTGTCACATCTTGACCCGTGGGAGTTAAGGGACCGCGGGAGCAGCCCGGCCTTCGGGCTGGGTTGCGACCGTGGCAAAGTCTAGTTTGGACCATATCAGGACCGGCTAAGACAAGCTAAGACTAACTTGGACTAGAACTTGACTAAGTTTTGACCAGCTTGGACATGTTATGACCAATATTTGACCAGGGACCCTATGCGGAAACGCTCGGGTTTCCCACGTAAAACGACCTTGTGTCACAACTTGACCCCGTGGGAGTTAAGTAAATACCACCGGCTCGGGGGAGCAGCCCGGCCTTCGGGCTGGGTTGCGACCCTGGCAAAGTCTAGTTTGGACCATATCAGGACCGGCCAAGACAAGCTAAGACTAACTTGGACCAGAACTTGACTAAGTTTTTGACCAGCTTGGACATGTTATGACCAATATTTGACCAGTGACCCTATGCGGAAACGCTCGGGTTTCCCGTAAAACGACCTTGTGTCACATCTTGACCCCGTGGGAGTTAAGTAAATACCACCGGCCCGGGGGAGCAGCCCGGCCTTCGGGCTGGGTTGCGACCGTGGCAAAGTCTAGTTTGGACCATATCAGGGCCGGCTAAGACAAGCTAAGACTAACTTGGACCAGAACTTGACTAAGTTTTGACTAGCTTGGACATGTTATGACCAATATTTGACAGTGACCCTATGCGGAAACGCTAGGGTTTTCCACGTAAAACGACCTTGTGTCACATCTTGACCCCGTGGGAGTTAAGTAAATACCACCGGCCCGGGGAGCAGCCCGGCCTTCGGGCTGGGTTGCGACCGCATATCAGTCCTGCTAAGACAAGCTAAGACTATCTTGGACCAGAACTTGATAAGCTTTGACCACCAACTACATGACCAGAATTTGACCAGTGACCCTATGCGGACCAGGGTTTCCCACGTGACCTTGTGTTCTTGACCCCGTATTTGACCAAATACCCTATGCGGAAACGCTCGGGTTTCCCACGTAAAACGACCTTGTGTCACATCTTGACCCTGTGGGAGTTAAGTAAATACCACCGGTTTCCGGGGAAACAGCCCGGCCTTCGGGCTGGGTTGCGACCACCGGACCCGGGAAAGCTAGTTTGGACCATATCAGGACCGGCTAAGACAAGCTAAGACTAACTTGGACTAGAACTTGACTAAGTTTTGACCAGCTTGGACATGTTATGACCAATATTTGACCAGGGACCCTATGCGGAAACGCTCGGGTTTCCCACGTAAAACGACCTTGTGTCACATCTTGACCCCGTGGGGGAGTTAAATAAATACCACCGGAACTTGGGGAAGCAGCCCGGCCTTCGGGCTGGGTTGCGACCGTGGCAAAAACGACTTGTTTGGACCAATCAGGACCGGCTAAGACTAAGACTAACTTGGACCAGAACTTGACTAAGTTTTGACCAGCTTGGACATGTTATGACCAATATTTGACCAGGGACCCTATGCGGAAACGCTCGGGTTTCCCACGTAAAACGACCTTGTGTCACAACTTGACCCCGTGGGAGTTAAGTAAATACCACCGGCTCGGGGGAGCAGCCCGGCCTTCGGGCTGGGTTGCGACCCTGGCAAAGTCTAGTTTGGACCATATCAGGACCAGCTAAGACAAGCTAAGACTATCTTGGAACAAAACTTGACTAAGTTTTAACCAATATTTGACCAGTGACCCTATGCGGAAACGCTCGGGTTTCCCAATAAAACGACCTTTGACCATCTGACCCTATTAAGTAAAAACGCTCAGGGCCTTCCTGGGTTGCGACCGTAAAACGACCTTAAGACAAGTAAGTAACTTGGACATCTTGACCCCGTGGGACCAGTTAATGTAAATACCACCGGCTATGCGGAAACGCTCGGGTTTCCCACGTAAAAACGACCTTGGTCACATCTGACCCCGTGGGAGTTAAGTAAATACCACCGACCGTGGCAAGCCCGGCCTTCGGGCTGGGTTTGGAAAGTCCACCATATCAGGACCTGCTAAGACAAGCTAAGACTAACTTGGACCAGAACTTGACTAAGTTTTGACCAGCTTGGACATGTTATGACCAATATTTGACCAGTGACCCTATGCGGAAACGCTCGGGTTTCCCACGTAAAACGACCTTGTGTCACATCTTGACCCCGTGGGAGTTAAGTAAATACCACCGGCCCGCGGGGGAGCAGCCCGGCCTTCGGGCTGGGTTGCGACCGGCAAAGTCTAGTTTGGACCATATCAGGACCGGCTAAGACAAGCTAAGACTAACTTGGACCAGAACTTGACTAAGTTTTGACCAGCTTGGACATGTTATGACCAATATTTGACCAGTGACCCTATGCGGAAACGCTCGGGTTTCCCACGTAAAACGACCTTGTGTCACATCTTGACCCCGTGGGAGTTAAGTAAATACCACCGGACCGCGGAAGCAGCCCGGCCTTCGGGCTGGGTTGCGACCGTGGGTCCATATCAGACCGGCTAAGACAAGCTAAGACTAAGACCAGAACTTGACTAAGACCAGCTTGGACTAGAACTATTTGACCTAACCTTTGACCAGGGTTTCCACGTAAAACGACCTTGTGTCACATCTTGACCAATATTTGACCAGTGACCCTATGCGGAAACGCTCGGGTTTCCCATATCAGGACCAGTAAAAAGCGACCTTGTGTCACATCTTTTGACCCCTGTGGGAGTTAAAACGCTCTGGTTTCCCACGTAAAACCACCGGATCTTGACCCTCGGGGAGCAGCCCGGCCTTCGGGCTGGATTGCGACCATGGCAAAGGACTAGTTTGGACCATATCAGGACCTGCTAAGACAAGCTAAGACTAACTTGGACCAGAACTTGACTAAGTTTTGACCAGCTTGGACATGTTATGACCAATATTTGACCAGTGACCCTATGCGGAAACGCTCGGGTTTCCCACGTAAAACGACCTTGTGTCACATCTTGACCCCGTGGGAGTTAAATAAATACCACCGGCCCGGGGAAGCAGCCCGGCCTTCGGGCTGGGTTGCGACCGTGGCAAAGTCTAGTTTGGACCATATCAGGACCTATGCTAAGACAAGCTAAGACTAACTTGGACCAGAACTTGACTAAGTTTTGTCGAGCTTGGACAAGTTATGACCAATATTTGACCAGTGACCCTATGCGGAAACGCTCGGGTTTCCCACGTAAAACGACCTTGTGTCACATCTTGACCCCGTGGGCGTTAAGTAAATACCACCGGTCCGCGGAAGCAGCCCGGCCTTCGGGCTGGGTTGCGACCGTGGCAAAGTCTAAACCATATCAAGACCTGCTAAGAGAAGCTAATACTAATTCGGACCAGAACTTGACTAAGTCATGACCAGCTTGGACATGTTATGACCAATATTTGACCAGTGACCCTTTGCAGAAACGCTTGGGTTTCCCACGTAAAACGACCTTGTGTCACATCTTGACCCCGTGGGAGTTAAATAAATTCCACCGATCCGCGGAAGGAGAAGCCCGGCTTCGGGCTGGGTTGCGACCGTGGGAAAGTCTGTTTGGACCATATAAGGACCGGCTAAGACAAGCTAAGACTATCTTGGACCAGACCTTGACTAAGCTTTGACCAGCTTGGACATGTTATGACCCATATTTGACTAGTGAACCTATGCGGAAACGCTCGGGTTTCCCACGTAAAACGACCTTGTGTCACATCTTGACCCCTTGGGAGTTAAGTAAATACCACCGGCCCGGGGGAGCAGGAAACCTCCCTATTCGCGACTTTGACGCTCCCAGTCAAGTCGACCAAGCCCAGCAGCTGACGGGACCCAGCAGCAGTAGCAGCAGTTGTTCAAACAGTCTTTTTCAGGTCTAACTTCCGAATATCATTTGACCACCACTCTTCGAGGCTCAACTCACTTCACTCCTGGCTACTGCCTTCACTCCTGCACCTTCCAGCGTTCCTTTCCAGCGTTCATGCAGCTTCCAGAACTCCTGCAGCTTCCACCTTCCAACCCCGCAGCTTCCAGCACTCCTGCAGCTTCCAGCGTTCCTGCAGCTTCCAGCTCACTCCTGCACCTTCCAGCGCTCCTGCAGCTTCCAGCTCACTCCTGCAGCTTCCAGCACTCCTGCACCTTCCAGCGCACTCCTGCAGCTTCCAGCACTCCTACAGCTTCCAGCAGTCTCCACTTCACCCCTGCGGCGCTCTACCGATTTCCCACGACCTATTCCAGCACCCGCTGACGACCTTATCCAGTGCCCACTGACGTCTAGCGCCCGTTATCGTCCGCACACCGTTCAAACGACCTCTGTCTTTCTTACCATCCACCGTTTGCAAATAAAGACACGATTTCCATCGTCTACAACGGACCATCTGCGTTTGTCATCCTTCTTTGCTATTGCCATCTCCTTGCCTTGTGTCCCCTTTTTAGTTGTACGGTCGATTGGCACTCACACCTCTCGGCCCGCTGCAACACGTAGTGCTGGTGGGTGAGAATCCATTACCAGCAATGGGCTTGAGGTCTTTGCTTTCAAAATAATAAAGCAGACAACGGGAAGAGAGATACTGACAAATATTTCCTCGCTAGTCTGTATTTTATAATTTATTATTTTATAATTAATTAAATTAAATTAATAAAAATAAAAATAAAGTCATAGATTATCAAATAGAGTAAAACAAAGAGAGAGAGAGAGAGGAGAGAGAACACTTTGAGTAAAACGAATTCTACTTACATATGGCAGCTAGTGTTCAATTTGGCCGTGTTCCATTCTCACAGTGAATTGTCGAGGCTGAATTTTTCTCGCCAAGTTTTTATGTTTCAAGAAACGCAGAGCTAGTGCAAGGAGGTTCCACACCAACAACAATAAAAAATACAACGGAAAAAGAGATACGCTAGTCTGTAATTTATCTAGCAAAATAATCGCCCCACTAATGTGTATATGCATATGCATATATATATATATATATATATATATATATATATATATATATATATATATATATATATATATATATATATATATATATATATATATACAAACGATAACATTTTCCACTTGACATACCTTTCCATAAACATGTTATCGATATAAAATATTTATATATAAAAAATATCTATGTTTAAACGTTTTGTTAAAATTGTCTTCATTGCAATATACCGACTACCCAGATTTTATGACTTTAAGCACAATACTTCAATGTAACCAATACGCATTTGTCGTTTTTGATTTATTAGAAAAATGCATATAGCAAATTTTTCACATTTGTAATCATCAAAGTATTACCCACCACCATCCAGATCCTACCAAAATATCTCCAACTAAGAATTGCCATGGTGGTAATAATCAGGTGTCTTAGTACAAAAAAGACTGTGTAGGCCTGCGCAAGTATGCCATATTTACAAGTGATTTCTTACGAAGGTAGTTAACCAGAAAATGGAAAAAGTAGTAATATGGTGATGCAATCTCTTGGGCGTAATGTGGATTGCACAGAGTCTTCCAGCCAAGGCGCCGAATGATAACGTTGACCACCCGAGCCAAATTAGCCCTGGCATTGTCATGGAAGAACAATAGACGTTGACTCCTACTCCAGTGTCTGTTGCACCTGTTCCAGCTGCTGCCAATACAGGTCTGCAGTGATGGCGTGTCCCGTTGAAGGCAGCTCATAGGACACCATTTGTTGATTAGTCCACCAGATACAGGTCACAAACTTGCATGGATCTAGAGTTTGTCTTGTGGTGTGAGGCACAGGGTGGCATAGTGAAAAGCACGAGGCCTTGTACCTCACACGTGGCAAAAACTATACAATTAACATCTGGATTAATTAATATCAGAAGCCATTAGAGCCATGATTGTTGTAGCATCACCTTACTTATTTTTATTTCTAATATTTTTATTATTACTACTACTATTATATACAAGTTTCTTAAATATTTTATGTCTACTTCGGTTAAAAATGTTTCTTCGAATATTTTTCACAAAAGGAAAATATATTTCCTCGAGAATAGATTTTCAAAATAAGTCATCTTCAAGAATAACTGACTCTAGTACAACGGTCAAAACTATTTTATGTTAAATGAAAAATGCTCAGACCGGTGTTAGATTTCATTAGGTTCTTTGGTCTTTAATTTATAATTGCTGAATTTATTCGTTAGTTACAACCATTTCAGATTAAATCACTATTTTATTTTTATTTTATTTTTTTTTTTTAAATGCCAAGCTTCTTTTCCCCGCATGAAAGGTTTATATGAGCAATGCCTATATAAGAGTGAATGTTTTGTTTTCTGTTTTATATCAATCAAACTTCATATATATCTGTTACTGGTAAGTATCTGGTTTTTTGGAAGTATAGAAATTGTGCAAATTACACACTAACATCACCTTAAATGAAATCCTTATTTTTTTTCTTCTAAATCTTGTATGCAAACGTTTTTCTTTGGCAATTACAGATTATTTTTTGTTGTTAGTTCACTGAATGCACAGCACAATATTTCACTATTGCTTCCTTCTTCGATCACAAATTCTTTGATTGCTGTTGTTTTGATTACTGATTACCACAAATCGATTTTATTTATCAATGTTATGTTTTCTGAAATTGTGTGGAACTTCATTATATGAATATAAATTTTGAACCTAAAACACATTTAATTTCCTACAGCATAAGCATTATTTATGTATATAACTTATAATTGTTTTATGATAGAAATAATATAGATTACATGTATATTTGAATGAAATCTAAGATAGTCCACAAGATACAGATCATGATCTTGCATTGGTGTAGTTGTCTTGCAGTTTAAAGCACAGGGTCACGTGATGACAACCACTTGACCCTGTATCTCACACCTGGCACACTTTCGACTATTATACAGGAACACTATTTGTTACTGATGAGCACTCGATCAAATATAAATACGTTGCGGTGCCCAGAAACCCTTAAGAAACGAGCTGTAGGTCGTTGTTATTTGTTGGCCTCCCATATTGTGTGGAGTATCCACTTACTCAACTTGTACGCTTTCCCTCTGTGATTTATTTGAAGCCTGGCTGTTTCATCAGAAACCTTGAAGGTTTTGGTTAACTCACTACCCGTATGGCTGTTGTCCTCCTCTATGGTTTCCTTCAGGGACTTATCATCCAAAACCTGTATCCGGCCACTGTCGTGTTATTCGCAAAGAGGGTGATCTCCCGACCTGTACTTCTGGTACCAGTACCTGGCGATAGGTTCACTCGAGGTATCATCCCCATAGACTTGATGCGGCTGCAGACAAGCGCACCTTATTAGATCAGCACTCCAAAGTGATGTTGGTGTACAAATATACCGTTTTCAATATACCTATACTGACATGCATTCTGCATACATCACTAAACCGAAATGTGTGCGATAAGGTAACATGTGATAAAGGCAGCAAATAATCTTCCATCTGCGAGGCTGTCAGAAATAACTTCACATCGTTTTACCTAATCCAATCTGATGGCCTTCTACGATTGATCGTATCCCCAAATATCTAAATGTAACCTACAAGTAACTTTGATTGCCTCATCTTTCAAAGTTAAAAGAAAACAATTGTCTCCAATGTAGCATGCTCCCGCACAGCTTACGCTCATGGGCAGAGGTGGACGTGTCGGATGTGTAATTGAGAACGGTCGTGTTTGAATGCCAATGTTGTATTTACTTACGTGCAATTTACCTTGGAAAAGGTATGAATCCATCAATTCTACGCCCAGATATAGGGTAAATAATAAACCCCAAATTGATAAGCCGTAATAATATTCATCAATTAAGAATAGTGAAGCATAAACATGAGTGGGAATGGCTAACTTTAAGATTAAACAACTGACAAAGAAATCTGTTGTGCCAAGCTGAATGTTTACTTTAGCTCATCTTAAAGAAGACAATTCACATAAAGACTCAATTAAAATCAGAATCCATAAGAGCCATGCTTGCTGTAGCATCAGTGCACTTATTATTTCTTTCTGGGTTCCGGCCAGAGACCTACGTTTAGAAATGGCATCATGAAATTTTCCCCTGACTAATTTAAAATCCCTTCAATGAATCTACTGGAAACTTTTCCAACTAATCCGAGGGCTCCAATTACAACAGAGATTTTTGATGTTCCCATGTGCCACATTTTTGAGATTTCTATTTCAGGGTCCTTCTATTTTGAAAGTTTTTTCAAGATCTTCAACGATACATTGCAGACTGTAGAGACTTCCATATCCAGGCACTTTTTTTGTTTGTGGTCTCTAATAACAATTTTTGGGCGGTTATCTTTAATTTTCTATCTGTGTATATTATGTAGTCCAATAAAATTGGGACATGTCCTGTGTCTATAACCGGGTCTGGGTGGTGTTCACACTAATTTCATTCTGTTTCTTTCCCGTAGAAGTTGTAGATTTTCCATTGCAGATATTGGCACACTCTGTCATGCCGGGTTTTATATTCAGTGGGTGCCAATACTGTGCAACCTGATACAAGATGACTAATTGTTTCGGGATAATTATCACAGATAAGTGTGCGTGATAATTTCTAGTCAACAAGCACTATTCCTGTGCTACAAGGATAAAACGTTTGGTTTCAGCTTTCAACCCTGCACTACGTAGCCACTGAGAGGTACGGGGCTTGTCTACATCAGCTTGTTTGGTACTGGCAGAGTATTGGCCATGAAGCATTTTATCCTGCCATTATTTCTGTATCTGGTCGGTTGCATTTGCTTTCTTTTTAAAGTATTTTGCAGTTTCAGTCGGTGTATTGTGACGGAGAGATAGTCTGAAAACACACACACACACAAATACACACATATTTTTTATTTTTTTTTTTAGTGGAATTGGAGTGTATTTGAACAGCGAAAGTAAATTAGAGCAATTTCGTTTACTGATGGAAAATCTGATCTAGGACAGGAGATGTACCCATTGGAAGTGGGTCATTGGCAGACAATGAAAATGGTTGAAATAATTTTTATTGATTAAAACTTTGAATAGATTTTGAATAGTGAAATTAAGTCAGAGCATTTTGTTTACTGATGTGGAAATTTGATCTAGGCCAGAAGTCGTACCCATTGAATCTGGGTCATCAGAAGAAAATGGAAATCGCCGAAATAATTTTTATCGATTAAAAATTGAAATAGAGCTAAGTAAGTTAGAAGTACCTTTTGAATTGACATGATTTTGGTTGAGACAGACAAAACCCCGTGATAATCACGTGCGACCAAGCTTCAGTTGTAACCAGCCGGATTTTTCTATATAAACGCGTAGTTATGCTGAAAAAGACAGACGGGAGAAATTTCTTGAAGAGAGAAGATAGCCATTGCTCGGGCGAACAGGCGAGCGTTGAGACAGAAGAGAGAGAGAGAGAGAGAGAGAGAGAGAGAGAGAGAGACGGAAGAAGAGCACAGGACAGAAAGTGACGTCATGTACTGTTGCTATAAATACCGTTGCTTCTGCTACCACGAATATTACTACTACTGTTACTACTGCTAAGGAAGAATGCCACCATAA